TTCTCCAGCCAGCTGGCTGGAGAATTCTGGGAGTTGAAGTCCACAAGTCTTAAAGTTGCCAAGGTTGGAGACCTCTGTGCTACATCGCTCCCCGGTAGCCCATTCTTGCCTGCCTCCAATTCCCAGAATCCCCAGCTAGCGGGAGGAAGGCTCCCGACCAATGGTTGACGAGTTTCTCCAAAAGACGCGACTCCTGCCCAATAGACCTCGCTTGCGCGCGCGTGGGCGGGGCTTCTTGCCCAGCGCAGTGCGGGGACGGGACGCGTGTCTAATTTGACGGGATTGTACGGAGCGTTGCCTTTAGGCCTAAGGACGTTTCCCGCTTAGCGCTGCGCCGCGGCCGAAGTGGCCTCCGCCCGAAGAGCGCCATTCCGCTCCAAGCCCTCAGCAACCAGCGTTCCGCTTTACCTGACGAAAAAAAACCAATGGGAGACCTCGGCAATCGACTGGGCGGAGCTGTCCCGCCTCCCGTCCAATGAATGGCGCTGTCGACTGAGACGGACGCGGCTCCCACGCTGAAATCCAGCAACGCCCCGAGACTTCGCGACGGGCGAATCGGGATCGTTTTTCTTGGAGCCGAGGCGGGATTCCTTCGCGGCAGCCAATCGGCGCGGCCTCTCGCCAAGGGCGTCTCCTCCGCGGCCGGTGGGCGGCGCCATCGCCGGCGGGCCCAGGAAGTGGCTGGCGGCGGCGGCGGCGGCCGGTCGGCCAGGTGGGAGTCTGCCCGCTCGCCATGAGCGGCCTACGGGAGGGCGCGGCGGCCGAGGCGCCGGCCTGGAAGCTGGCCCTTCTGGAGCGGAAGCGGGCCAAACTGGCGGCCGGCATGGGTCTGGAGCGCGGCCGGGTTCCTGCTCCGCGGCCCGGCCAGGGCCCCGACGGACGCGAGGCCGGGCCGGTGGTGGCCGAGAGCCTGGGCCCGCTGCGGGAGAACCCCTTCATGCGCCTGGAGAGCGAGCAGCGGCGGCGGCGGCGGCGGGGCGCCTGCGAGCTCCCGGGGCCGGCTTCCTCCCCCTCGTCCCCCGCTGCCGAGTCCCCGGCCCTGGCGCAGCTGCTGCAGCTCTACGGGGCCATGCCCGGCATCCGCACCATCCGCGCCGACAACATCCTCATCATCGAGTCCAGCGACCCGGCGGAGGCCGCGCAAGGCGGCGCCCTCGGCCGTCGGAGCCCCCTGCGGGACCTGCTCGCCCGCCGCGGCCCTCCTCCTCCTCCTCCGGTCACCGAGATCCGTGCGGTCCAAGTCGTCGTCTACGAGCCCGAAGCGCCGCCGCCGCTCGACGAAGGCCCCGATTCCGGTCTGGTCAGCCGGCTGCTGCAGAAGTTCGACCGCGCGGCGCAAGGGAAGGGCGGGCGAGGGGGCGACGGCCCTGCCCTGCCGGTGCCTCCGCCGCCCGGGCCCCCCGCCGCCCGGCCGGCCCCCTCGCCCGGCCCTCAGGGCGGCGGCGGCGGCGGCAACGTTTTCTTGCAGAAGATCGGCTCCAACTCCTTCGTGGTGAATCCGCGGGGACACCGCGCCGGCCTCGCAGCCGCCCCCGCGCTCAGCAACGGGCCTGCGAAGGCGGCGGAGGTCGTCGCTCTCCCTCCCGCCAGCAGTGCCGGCCAGCGCGGGGTGGCTGCTGTCTCCAAAGCCGTGCCATCCTCCCGGAGCCCCACGCCTTCGTCTCCATCAGAAGCTGAGGCGGGGAAGCCAAAGTGCCAGGCTGCTGCCGCCCCTGAGACCTCGGCCCAGCCGCCTGCACCGTCCAGTGCCACTCTGGACAGCCGGCCCTCCCCGCTGTTCAGCTCCAGCTGCTCCTTCGAGATCCGCCCGGCCCCAAAGCCCGATCTCGCCGCCATCGCTGCTCACGACCTCCAGGCGCGCGCCTTGGCCAGCCTGCGCCTCAACTCCCGCAACTCCTTCCTCTTCGTGCCCCATCGGAAAGAGGAGCCCCCTGGCCCTCCTCCGCCCGCAGAGGCCCTGCCTGCTGCCCCCGAGGAGGAGGAGGAGGAGAAGTCGGTGCCCGTGACTTACATAGACGAGGACTTGGTGGCAGCCATGCCGCCCTTGAAAGTCTTAAGCCCCAGGCTGGAGGGTTTCCATGTGCCCCGAGAAGGTGCCTTGACGGAGGACCCTGATTTGCCCACCTACAGGCCCTTTCCCGCTGCTTCCATTCCCCGCACCAGCACCTTCACCGTAGTGCCCAAAAGGAAGCCCCCCGCAGCCAGCCCGGAGCCCTTCAGCAGAGCCTGGGTCCAGGAGGAGGAGGAGGAGGAGGACCAAAGCCAAAGGGAAGGCCAGATGGGAGCCCTCCAGCAGGAATCCGGTCGCCTCAAAAAACGCTATCCCACCGTCAATGAGATCGAAGTGATTGGCGGCTACCTTTCTCTTCATAAGTCCTGCATGAGCAAATCGGGTATTCGGCGCAAAAAGGTAACCAGTTGACAGTGGCTGACCAGTCCTTATTTCGGTTATGCTTCTGCTGAATTTTTGCAGCGTGCGGAGGTGAACAGGACTTGACCGAAGAGTGCTGGGTTGCTGATGTGCAACTGCCGTAGGGCCTCTCAATTTCATAGGTTCTTTAGGGAGCCCGGGGAACATGATGCGCCACTGTTCACTCTGAGTAGCTCACGGTATAAATAGGCCAGACTTGAATGCAAGGGCAGAGCTAGCTGTGTGAAATCGCAAACAAGAACTTGGAAAGGTTTTTTTGCACGCTTGATTTCATTCATCCGTGGTGGAGGATAAGGACCCTCCTTGTCCCAGGGCGCTTCGGTGCTGCGCTGTGATTCGGTGGTGGTGGATCCTATGCAAACAAGCATTGTTTATGTTTAGAAAGTTTTTTTAAAAACAATAATCGTGAACTTTTAAAGTTGTGCTTTTATTGGGGGATAAAAATTTCTCTTGGCGAAAGAGTTATAGTCTATACATACAGATCAGGGTTCAAGATGATAGGCTAAAGAGGGCAAATGTGGCTTCCTATCTTTTCACACTCCTGTGTTCTGCAAGATTACAGCTGCTTAGAAACTGATGGGCAATGCAGGCCAATTGCTTTTTGGGCCAGTGCTAGGCTGGGGTCACTTCCCAAACCAATTCATACCCAACCAGAGTCTGTTTCCTTCTGATTCATGCAGTTGGCTTGCCATTGGTACAGATTCCTGTAACAGGGTGTGGCAGGGTGGGAAAGTGAAGTAAAAGTGATCAAATTATTATGCAATATCAAGGGTCGGGCTGGAGGAGGTGATTATGTATACATTTCCTTGCAGCTCAAGTTCCCTTTGAGACATTGCTGCTCTTTTTTTTAGCTGGCAAAGTATTTTTTTTCCCCTGGTTCCCCCCCCCCCCACCGCCCAGTGCCACCTCGTTGAGGGCTAGTGCCAGTTTTTCTTTGTCCTTCAATGGGTTGCCTATTGAGCTCCCCCTCCCTTTCCAGCTGTGGAAGGGCTTCCCCCTGTCCCAGCTGAGGTTGGCTTTTATATTTCGAAGTCGCCAGAGGGAAACCTGCCCCTTGAAGAACCTTTGTGGTGCTTTCGTTCATCTGCTCTGGTCAGTTACTGGCTCTTGGCCTGGGAGCTCAGGTTGCTATCAACAAAGAAAACACAGGAGCATTGATGAGAGGGCCCTGCTGGAAGAAGAGCTGCTAAACGTGACCTGATTGGCTGTTCCGGTCAGAATAAAACATTCCTGGAAATTACTTTATGTCCACAGGATACCTGTTGGCCAGAAAACAGCCTGCCAACTTCATACAAAGAGGACTACTTTCAAAGGACTGCAGTTAGTTCTTGGTGATGAAGATTGCCCTTCTCTTGCCCTTCTACCTGGAGTTCAAGTAGCGGTTGTAGTTCTTTGCAGGAGCTCTGTGAACGAGGTGAAAGAGAGGAGTCCTCCCAGAATGAGGATGTGCTTGGACCCAAGACCTCTTGTTCTTGGTCCAAGGCGGTTTAAAGTAAAACTTGGTGGACTGTGGAAGTTGGCCACAGTCAAAAGTTTTAACTTGCTTGCTGTTCCAATATTTGCAGTATCTTCCCTTTTGGGGAGATACTTTGAGTTAGAAACCGTGTGTGTGTGTGAGAGAGAGAGTGTTAGCAAACTTTCCCCAAGTGTCTGAAACTTGGATCTCCCCAGTGGCACCTGATCCTGCTCTTCTTTGCAGGATCCTTCGGGGTGTTGATTACAGGCTGAAAGGCAATCCACTTTACCGGCCTTCTTTCTTCCAACAGGCGCATTCTGGCATTTTGGCCCCAGTGTTTGTTTGCATTTGAATTGCAAAATGATGATCCAAGGAGAGACAAATAAGGAAACACCTGGAAGTAGTGTGAGAATCAAGGAAACATTGGCTTCTACGCTGATGACGACAAAAGTTTTCCACTGGGCGCTGTGGATGCTTACACAAACTGAAAAGCTTTTTGCGTGAATTGATTTCATAAGGCTTTAAGCTCAGTGTTGAGATTGCTTTCCTAAAGTTCTAGTTCTGTCCTGTTGAAACTCTGCAAATGGGACCACCAGGCACCTGGCCATTGCCACAAGGACCTCAGGTTGCAGTTTGTGGGTTGCAGGTTGCAGTTTGTGATGTATTTTCCATAGCTTAGAAGAGACTTTGGAGAACTAGCCTTCTGCTTTTTTCTTTTCAATGCTTGAAATTGGATTACTGGCCATATGCGAGCATTGTAGTCTTAGCTTCTCCGTTGATGTTTCTTTTAAACAAGATTGCTTTTGTTTGGGACATAAAGTTACTTTATTTTTAAAGTAGCTGCTTCAGAACAAGACTCTTAAGTGGTGACAGTGAAGATGATGTGAGGTTCTAAAATGGAGCAAAAGTTATACGTTCAGTTTGGCCGAGTGGTTAAGGTACCAGGCTAGAAAGAGAATAAATGCTGGGTTTGAGTCCCACCTTAGGCATGAAAGCCATTTGGGTGACTTTGGGCCAGCCTGACCCACCTCACAGGGTTATTGTTGTAGGGAAGGTGAGTTGGTTATGCTCGCTGCCTTATTTGTAAAAAATAAGGTGGGATATCAATAAATATGACAAGGTGGCTTATGAATCTGCTCTGTATCCTCTTGGGAAACTTCCTGAAGCATTCAAAAGTGTTCTGCCTGCCTGTTGATTCCCACTCGTCACCTGTTGAAATAGGTGGCTATAGAAATCAAATAAAAATAGTGAAGGATTCCAGCTGGAATAAGCGAGAAATTTGCCTCCCTGAAACTTGCGGTAGAATTGCAAAGCAACTTCTTACTGTTCTTTCAGATGAAAATATCCTTCAATGAGACCAGTTTGCAAACCATGTTTGAATATCCATCTGAGAGCTCCTTAGTGGAGGAAGAGGAGGAGGAGGAGGAGGAAGAGGAATATGCCACAGAAGTAGATGAGAAGCCTGCCTTTCGCATTCCTCATCCGAGCAGTACTGTCAACTCGCACCCAATCAACTCAGGTAAGCCTCTCCTTTTCTACCCTATTTCAAAAACCTTTTGGGTTGAAGCTATGGCAGATCCCCAATCATGATGTCACTTTTGCAACGAGGTTGGGCGAGGCGATGGCACTATTATCCCGTACTTTTCCACATTCAGAAACGGAGTAGGTATTAAGCACCTGCAGCTAAAACGGCAACGTCCCCAGTAAAATAGAAAGAAAGACAAAAAATATTCAGGAAGTTGAAACTTTAAACTTCCACGTCCTTCTTGATGTCCAGTAGAGATTTTGCAGAGGGTAATGACTTTCCAGCCTCAGGGATTCCTCAGTGGAATCTCTGCTCATGCCACCCCATCTTCCTCTTCCTCTTCTGCTCATGTTTTTTGATAGGTTTGTCAGGTTACACTCCAAAGCACTCCCTACGCTTCAACAAGTGGCAGGAGCAACTGTACCAGAAGCTGCCTTCAACCATCGGAGCCCTTCCACAGGAGACTGACCAACCGGAGCAACAGGTCATGGTAAGACTTGGGCAGGCGTGTTCTTGTCCTTTTGCCTGCAGCCTTGGGGTGGGGTGGGATGTACCAGTGGGCGGCAGCTGCTTAATGCACAAACAAAATAAAACTTTTCTGCAATAAAGCAGAGGCGGCAGGCAAAGTTCTGTGCTTGCAGCAGCTCGGCTGGTGGTACAGGTAAAACTCAGCGTCATTCCAGTTTTGAATGGCTGCCCTTTCTAGCAAATGGGACACAGAGGGCTTTGCTTTTCTGCATTTCTCTTCTCTGGAAAGAAAAAGAAAGCAGCATGGGCAGCTATCTTTGTCTCCTCACAGCTCACCCCTGCCGAAAAAAGCCACCTGTCTGACTTCAGTAGCGAACCTGCCCTCTACTTCTGAGTCCTGAGCGCCGCTGAATATATTCTTCGCACCTTTGCCCTGCCAGATACCTGGAGAGACAAAGGTGGCACACAAAGCCAAACTTCTCTTCCCTCCTCAGGTACTGAGGCGCCCCGGAGGGCCTCACGTTCAAATGCACCTCGTTTTTGGCAGTTTGGGGGGTGGGTGTGTTACCTGCAGCCTTCCTGTTCTGAGAAAAACAAATCGCCTGAGGTGGCCAGATGCTGAATGGGCCGCCAAATGCTCAGACCGCTGTTGAGCCACTAGGCTGAGTTGCTCCCTCCAGCCAGATGTGCACAAGATGGCTCAGCGATGAGCTGGGTGCCGAACAAACAAACAAACAAACAAACAAGCAAACAAGCTGTAACCTAACGGAAAATATTGCCTGAGAACTCACCTTGGGGAAATTATGCTCCGAACACTTAGCAGAAGTGGCCATTGAGTTTTTCAGCTTGGCAAATAATGACAAATAACGTTGCCTTTAAAAGACTAACTGTACTAGTGGACTCTGTTTACTTTAAAGGAGATTCCAGTTCCCAAAAGGGCTAATGGCAAACATGCACCCTCCTAATCTGATGCTTGCATTTCTAGGACCAAATGGTGCAGAAGCTCAGCTGCGCAGCTACATCATCCCATTAGATGCCTCTTGTGGAATCCTGTAGAAAGTTGGCCAGTTGTGTGATCCTTATAGTCTTGTTTTCAGCTGCGCACTTTTTGCTTGCCAGACCCCAAATGCTGGTAACAGGCTTTTAAGAGTTCCCGTGTCTGAACGAAGCTCTAGGTCAGGTGGCCAATCCTTTACTTGCTGTGCCACTCGGTGCTGCGTCACTGCTGCCCAGCGCTTGGAGCCAAGTTTTTCAGCCCTGACTCACTGAATCTTTGGAGAACGGATGGAGACTCCTGGCTCTCTGATCCTTCCTCTTCCAACTACAGTGATAACCTTTTGCTCTCATATTTTCGAGCAAAGCTGCTGGTCTGACCATCTGAAGGAGGATTATACAGATTAACTAGCTAGCACCGCATTCAGGTTGTGGAAACCAAAGTGAAACACTCTCCATTAGCATTTCAGCTACACTCCAAGCAAAAGCAGAATGCTGTGTGTGTTTATGTAAGGGGCTCAGCCACACGTGAAAGGACCAAGTTTTAAACCTGGAGTTTGTCTTCTTTTTCTTTAGTATCTTAAATCAAAGCAAGCTAATTGACTCTTGTATATTTTGCACTTAATTGTTAATGGAGGAAGCTGGGGCCTTGATCTTACACTCCGCCAGATCCGCCTGGAGAAATGAAACTGCTGTACACGTTCCTCTTCTGCCCTTGAATGGTGTCACTTTGGGCTTCCCAGATTCATTAAACCACACAAGTGATTTCTTCACGATTGTTGTTGGGTGATTTATTTGGCTCTTTTGTGCAATCGCTATTATCTGTGTGCAGAATTCCAACGTGGACCTGCAGTTAGATCCCCTCTTAATGTTCAGTTGCGGATTCCTATAGCGTCTGGCCATTTTGCTGGGTTCGTGATCAGGGGAGTTATGAAAGCATAGAAGGTTGGAGGAAAAAGAAGCTGGATGGCGGAGACCAACCTCTATTCGCTAGGCAAAAATATAATTGGGCTTCACTTTCTAGGCAGAGCAAACACCGTGCAGGGAGGAAGCCTTCCTTGCTGTTTCTATTTACCTTTCTGTGCTGCCAGGGAAGCCGCAGCTACAGGTTCCACCTCCTCTACCTGTCCCTTCGCTCTCCCTGCACTGCAGGAGCCACCCACCATTTCCAAGATGCCAGGTCAGCACCGCCCAAATTTCCCTCAGGGTTGCCTCAAAATTTAATAATAAAAATGCCACGTTCCCTCCTCTGAGGATCTGGGTGGCTGTGTCCCACAAAGAAAGCCACTTGGTCGTGCAGCTGCTGGAAACTCCTTTTCCTTCTTGCTGCCCACCTGCGTTAGGGGGCAAGGTGTGTGTGTGTGTGTGTGTGTGTGTGAAGAAGGGGGTTGGGAAAGGCCCCAGCCTCCCCCCCATGCAAACCCTCTGCCTGCCCCCCCCAAGTGAAAGCTGCAGGAGTCTTTTGAAAAATGCATCCACTTTATTTAGTGCTCCCCAAGCGCCCCCCACCCGCCCCCGTTCAGCTGTCCTTGGCGGGGAGGCTCTTGGACTCGGTGGCCTTGGCCAGGTTCCCGGCTTCCTTCTTCAGCACGTTCAGCAGCGTCTGCGAGCTTTCCAGGATCTGGAGCGGGGCGGGAAAGGGGAGCCTCGGTCAGGCGGGCCGGGCCGGGCTGGGGGGGTCGGGCTGGGAGCAAGGAGGGCCGGGCTCTCTCACCTTCATGTAGGCCGCCTCGGTCTCGGCGATGGTTTTGTCGAACTCGTTGCGGGAGGCCATCTTGTGGGCCAGGGTCTCGTTGATGCGGGCCAGGCGCTCGGTCAGCACGCGGAGGTCGCCCTGCAGCTTGGCCTTCTCCTCCTCCTCCTGCCGGATCTGCCGGCTCAGCTCGTCCCGCTTGGCGCACAGCTCCTCGATGCCTGCGGAGGGCGCAGCGCGGCTCAGGGCCTCCCGGGAACTGCGCCTCCCGCCGCCGCCCCCCACCCACCCCCGCCGCCGCCGCCTCCTCAACGCCCCCAGCCCGGCTTACACTTGACCAGCTCGTTGTTGTAGCTCTGCAGCGCCGCGCCTTGCTGGGTCATCGCCGCCGCCGCCGCTCTCTCCGCCCGGCTGCCTTCCCGCCCGGCGGCTCCTCCTCCTCCTCCTCCAACGGCCGCCCGCCCGCCCGCGCGATGGAGCTCTCGGCCGCCTGGCACGCCCTCAGCACCGGCCTGGTGCCGGCCGCCGCTCTGGGGCTGGGTCCGGAGGGCCCGGAGTCCCCGGCGGCGGGGGACGAGCTGCGGGCGGCGGCGGCGGTGCTGGCTCGCCACGGGCTGCTGGCGGCGCTGGAGGAGTGGCTGCTGGAGGTGCTGCAGCGGGACCTGCAGGCCCGGCTGGCGCCCGAGTTCTGGGGCCGGGCCGGCGGGGAGCCGCCGTGTCCTCGGCGCCTGCTGGAGGCCTTCGGGCTCCTGCGCCGCCGCCTGGAGCCCTACCTGCGCGGCCTGGGCCTGCTGGAGGAGTGGGCGCGGCCGGCGGGGCGCTGCTGCCCGGGCGTCCCGCGCGAGAGAGCCGGGGCCCTGCTGCGCGCCGTCCTCTTCTCCGCGCCCCCCGCCGACTTCCGCCAGGCCGTCCGCCGCTTCTACGGGCGCAGCTTCCGCATCTACATGCGGCAGCACGGCGGGGCCGAGGAGGAGGCGGGAGGCGGCGGCGGGGGTTGCGGCTGCGGGGAGGAGCGCTGCTGCTGCCCGCTGGCCATGGAGCAGTTCCAGCAGCTCAACGCCATCCTGTGGGTACCGGGGGGGGGGGGGGGGGGGGGGGGGGGGCCGGGGGGCCCCCGGGGGCGCCCCCCGCCCCCCCCCCCCCGCTAAGGGGTCGCGCCTTCTCTGCCCTGCCCCAGTGGATCGACAAGGTCATCGGCTGGCTCAGCCGAGTCTTTCTGCAAGAAAGCACCGTGGGGCTGCCCGGCCCGGCTGCCAGCAGCACCCTGAAGCGATGGCGCTGCCACGTCCAGATGTTCTTCTACCGCCTGTATGCCAGCATGCGCATCGAGGAGCTCTTCAGCATCATCCGCGGTGAGCCTGGCAGCCCCCTCACCCACCCACCCACCCACCTGAGCATCCTGTCTGCAGAGCAGGCGCAGCGCTGCGTTGCCCTTCCTCAGGCTCCCTCCTTCCCTCCTGCAGATTTCCCGGAGTCGAAGCCTGCCGTGGAAGACCTGAAGTACTGCCTGGAAAGGACCAACCAGCGGCAGCAGCTCTTGACTTCCCTGAAAAGCGCCTTGGAACTGCGGCTCCTGCATCCCGGTGGGTGATGGCGGCTCTGAAGCACCAAAGCCCCCCTTTTCCTCCCCCTTTCCTCTTCTCAGCCTTGCAACTAGCCTCCCCGCTCTCTTGTTTCAGGGGTGAACACTTCAGACATCATCACCCTTTACATCTCTGCCATCAAAGCCCTGCGGGAGCTGGACTCTTCCATGGTGATCCTGGAAGTGGCCTGTGAGCCCATTCGGAAGTACTTGAGGTGCGGGGGGCTGGTTGGGCGCCTCTCCAGATGATGTGGCGTCAGGGTTGGGTGGCAGACCATAAGCCACACAACAGACACACACACACATCCCTAGGACCAGGGAGGATACCGTGCGGCAGATTGTGGCCGGCCTGACAGGGGATGCGGAAGGATCGGCCGACCTGGCCAATGAGCTCTCCAAAGCCGACCCGGTGACGCTGGAGAATGGCCAAGAGAGCGAGGACGATGCCTCTGAACCCGAGGACTGGGTGCCCGATCCGGTCGATGCCGATCCCGGTGAGTTGGGGCTGCGGTTGGAAGGCGCTTTGGGGAAGACGGGAACCGGGTCCGTGAGGCTTCTGGCCTCTGCCCATTACGCCCACCTTTGACCAGGGAAGTCCAGTTCCAAGCGCCGCTCCTCGGACATCATCAGCCTGCTGGTGAGCATCTACGGCAGCAAAGACCTCTTCATCAACGAGTACCGGACGCTGCTGGCTGACCGCTTGCTGCATCAATTCAATTACAGCGCCGAGAGGTGAGGCCCGAGAGGCGCCCAAGTCCCCTGAGGCACAGCCAGCAAAGGGAGCCCCGTGAGGCCAGAAAGCCGCCCTTCGCTCTGCTGCGGCCAGGGACAAGGAGGGTTGTGGGGCATTCTCCTCCGGGGCGGGGGAGCTTTTCCGCAGGATCGCAGGCTCTGAGGTGAGTAGCAGAGGCCTCGGCAACAGTCCTGTCTTCTTCTCGCTTCAGGGAGATCCGAAATGTGGAACTGTTGAAGCTGCGCTTCGGAGAGGCCCAGATGCACTACTGTGAGGTCATGCTCAAAGTAGGTGTTCCAGGCCACCCTGGTCCCTCCGAAGGCTGATGGTACTCGGCCCCACGGTGGCCTGTCCAGGCGAGCTCGGGCGCCCCACTTCCTTCCCTCTCTCCCACACAGGACATGGCAGACTCTCGGCGCATCAACGCAAACATCCGCGATGAGGAGCAGAAGCTGCCCGAGCAGGAAAGGCCTCCCTTCAGCCTTGTGGCCATCATCCTCTCCAGCGAGTTCTGGCCCCCGTTGAAGGAGGAGAAACTGGAGCTCCCGGCGCAGATCAAGGAGGCCATGGAGGCCTACGCCAAGAAGTACGAGAAGCTGAAGGTAGGAGAGAGTGCGGGAAGCTCAGCCGTGCGCAGCTGGCAGCCAGCCACGAAGGCGGCCTTCTCTTTTCTCCTCTGGGAACGGCCCGGGGTCCCTTCTAGGATTCGGCTGTTCCTTTCTTGCCGTCTTCCTCTCCCTTCGCCCAGGGCGTCCTGCGGCGTGCTCCTGTGGTGGAACAGCACATGGGGTCCTTCAGCTTGAGCAACCCGTAACGCTCCCTCTCGGCTTCTTCCCAGGCCATGAGGACCTTAAACTGGAAGCATCACCTGGGCTTGGTGAACCTGGAGGTGGAGCTGGCGGACCGGACGCTCTCCCTGTCTGTGTCGCCGGTGCACGCGGCCGTCATCCTGCACTTCCAGGACAAAAGTAGGCCTCCCGCTTCTGCCCTTCTCCCGCAAAGGGAGGGGAGGACCCTCAGAGATCTAGGCGCACACGCGCAGATGTGGGTCCTGGGAGCCAGTCCACGGGGAGGGGGACGCATTTGGCAGCGTCAAGGGAGGTGGAGGGAAGGTTTCCTACTGGGAGATCCTCCTTGGGGGTGGGGCCCTTCCTTGGGTGGCACTGCTGGGCCCTAAGCAGGGTGGGGGGGGTCCTTCTTTGCAGGCACGTGGACCTTGGAGGAGCTGAGTGAAGCTCTGAAGGTGCCTGCGGCCTCCCTGCGGCGCAAGATGACCCTCTGGCTGCAGCAAGGCGTGCTGAGGGAGGAGCCCCCTGGGACCTTCACGGTGATCGAGGAGGAGCTGAAGGACCAGACGGAGAAGGTGGTGCTGATCGATAGCGATGAGGAGGGGGATTCGGCCATGGCCTCCCAGGCGGACCAGAAGGAGGAGGAGCTGCAGGTGGTCATCTGGGGGAGGAGGAGGAGGAGGAGGCTAAGAGGTCTAAGCGCTGGCTCTTGGCTGCGTGATCCGCCCTTGTCTGGGCACAACAACGGGGAGCCTTCACGCTCAGGGCTGACTGGATCCCAGAAGCACCTGAGTGACGGGCCCTGCTTCTGCCATGCAGCGGTTCTGATCTCTGCCTTGACCTCGTTTCTGTGTCCTTACCGCCCCCTTTGCAGCTCTTTTGGACCTACATCCAGGCCATGCTGACCAACCTAGAGTCTCTCTCCCTGGAACGCATCCACAGCATGCTGAAGATCTTCGTGATGACCGGCCCCATGGTGACCGAGATCGACATCCAGGAGCTACAGGTCTTCCTCCAGAAGAAGGTCCGGGACCAGCAACTCAGCTACTCGGGGGGTGTCTACCGCTTGCCCAAAAGCTGCAACTGAGGGCGGCACCTGATGGGTGTGGGTCACCCTTGGACTATGGCCTGGCAGGGTGCTGCCTTGGTGCATGTGGCCAGTGTGTGTGTGTGTGTGTGTGTGAGTGTGTGTGTGCGGCCCCAGAGACTGCTAGCAAAACGTTTTTTGTTTTGATGGATTTCCTGGTTCATAATAAAGTGGCTTCCCTTGGAGCCATTGGGACGGCGGTGTATTTTTTTTCCTCCGTGAATCGGGCCGGCTCGCTCCCCCGTTGCAATTCAGTTCATCGCCAACGTTTCCCTCCAGCCCCTCTGCGGAATATCGGGAGGCATAGGGCTGGTGGGGGGGGGGGAGGGTTTGGCTGGATGGGTATCTTTCTCCTCGCCCGCCTGGGGGTGTGTTTCTTGCCAAGGAGTGATCAGCCGGAGAGGTGGGGAAAGGAACGAAGCTTGGGGGAGCTCCCTTGGCCGAGGGCCGTGGCCTCCCCCTTCCCCCTCTGTGGGCCATCCCAGGAGCAGGGATGTGGTCCTCTGGGAAGGAAAGGGAAACTGGCCCTGGGTCTCTTGGGCGGGAGGGCTTCCGAGTATCAGCCCAGCCGCCTTTAAGTCCCCAAATGCCTTTCACAAAGCGTGGATTGCAGCCGAGTCGGGCTGGCAGGAAAGGCCGAGAGGAACTGGACGCTGGGGATCTGGAGAACCCTCAAAGGCAGTTGACAAAGGAGGAGAAGGAGCAGAGAGCCACCGGCTGCCACGGAGGACTTGGGGTGAGCGACTGAGGCAGTGGTCTTCCTGAGGCTTCCTTAGGAGGAGGAGGAGTGGGGCTGCGACTGCTGGAGCTGCCCATTGGCTGGTCAAAGTTCTGGGGCCTTGTGAGGTCACAGAGGCTCCCTTGGAGCTCCTGCCTGGCTTGGAGGGGTTTTCAGGGCTCCTGGGAGATGGAGAGAGGTTGGGCTCGGGGCTCCAGGATGCAACTGGCCGGCCTGTTCATCATAAGCGTCCTCTCCTTGGCTTCATGTGAGTAATGGGCCCGATCAGCCAACTTGGGTTTGGGGCTGGGAAGAAAGCCAGGAGCCAGACATGCTGCAGAGTATTTGGGTTTTAAATCCGAGTGCACTTGCAGCCCCCAGGCAGGCATCAAAAAAATTGAGATATCTGAAAGCAGCCCACAACTGGAGGAGGGGGGGGAGACAAGCACACAAAATATAGATTTGGGGACGGGGTGGGAAGAACCCAGGCCAAATCTCCTACATCCATTTTTGCACTCATTGATTTGCAGTGAGAATGAGCAGGGTAGAGGCCTCCAGAGCTTATCCAGCCAATTTCCACCCAAAGCACAAAAAGAAAATAGTTGCCTCTCTGAACGATGACTGGAAGGAAGGGGAAGAGGAAGAGAAGGAGAACGAAGAAGGATTCAGTCAGCGGATTGTCCGAAGAGCTGTGAGGAAGGTCCGCCTCTGGGAGCGCTCGCTGTGAAATGCCCTCTGCGACAACCCAGTTTGGAGGGGCACGGTTATCCTCCTTTCCCCCCTTGGAATCTCAGTGTTCCCAAATGGGGGAACACAGCCCCTGGTGCTGTGTGTGGGGGTGACGGCATTGGCAGCAGGAGGGTTGGAAGGATAACGGGAAGAAGAGAGACCCCCCAATGCAAACCCGGCCTGGTCTGAGTCTGTAAACCCGGTGTTATCCCAACAGTATCCCGAAGACGCTGGGGATCACGTGGAAGCTGGCCACCGGCAAATCTCCATTCCCAGTAAGGGCTTCTCCCTGCTGCCTGTGATTTTTGGGGGAGGGAGGACTTTTGCACACCCCTTCCCTCCCCGTGGTCCGGGGAATTCGGTGTGGCCTTTGCTCCGTTGAGAACCTGCCGGGAGGGCAGGAGGCGGCCTCGGAGGACCGTTTCTGCCTCTTGCCCCCAACTACGGGGAGGGAGCCTGGATCCAGGGCATCCATCCACAGAAGACTTGGGGGGGGAGGGTACCCCTCGTGCCCCTGACTCTTGCTTCTCCTTCACGTGCCTTCAGTGGGCCGAGCTGAGGGCAGCTGCCCCGAAGTGCTGTCCAAAGGGACCCTGGCAGTGATTGTGGCCGCCTTGGCCTTCTTGGGCTTCTTTTCCACTTCGGTCCTTCTGGTGGTGGCGGTCTGTGTCTTGCGGATGGTGGATAAACAAAGGTGAGTCTTGTTGGGCCGGGAAGGGAGGCCTGAGGGCCTCTTCTGGGTCTCCTTCCTGCTGCCCCCTGCAGAAGCTTCCTAGGGGCTGGAAACCAGCCAGGTCTTCCTGGGGCTCGACATTCATTGCAAGCAGCAGGGGTGCCACCTCCTCCCTTGGCTGTCCTCCTGGCTCCGCCGGAGGGTCCAGTGATGGAGATGGTGAAGCAAACTCTCTGCAGGCCAGAGGATTTGAGTTTGCAGGACAGGGTTGCTCACTGCCTCCGCCTCGCTCCCCGCCCTTTTTGTGTCTTTTGTCTGTCTCAAGGAAAACAGGGAAGGAAGGGAAAATTGGTTATCCTCCTTCCAGGAGGACTCTTCCTCCTATCCCGTAAGTGAATCAGATCAAGCGGGGGGGCCGTTGCAGGCACTCAGAGGTTGGGGGGGGGGGTAGGGTTTGCCTCTCGAGATCTGGATTGTCGAGGGTGAGTAACCGAAGAGCAAGAGTGGGGTCTCACCTGAAGACTTCAGCATCAGGAAGAAAACTGATTAGCCAGCGGAGGGTTTTGTCTGCTCAGGCAGCTGGTCCTTGTCTCCAGTTTGGTCTGCTGCTTCAGGTGCAGTGGGCCTCGGGGAGGGAGGGAAGGAAGGAAGGTAGGAAGGAAGGAAGGAAGGTGTGTGCCAAAGATGGACGCAGGCCTCTTGCTCTCCACTTGCAGACCACCTCGCCCAGACCATACGTACATGACCATGAGGACACCTGGCCCTGATCGCCTCCGTCCAGCCACCCCGTGAGTAACAGCTCTGGCATTGGCCTCAAAGGAGCGCTTCCTTTATGGCCCGGACAAAACGAGGAACTATTCCAGTGTGGATTTTGAGCTTCTGCAGTTTGGCCACTTGGGCACTCTTAAGGGACTGCTTTAAAGCTCCTGGGGAAAGAATGTCTTGCAGAAACCAAGGAGGTCTGAAAGAGTCTTTATTAGCACAATTAAGTTCGGACGCCTGGAGGAGAAAAGTGTTTGTCTGGTTCAGAAAACAGCCAGAGGTCTCAGTTGGGGCCCCGTGTGGGATTGGGGAGCTTCATTCGAGGAGGAGATGGGAGGGGGAGCTGGTTCCCTTTCTCTGCTGGAGCCCTGAAGCCCATTCTTGTCCCTCTCAGGCATACCCCAGAGGACGGCTACCTGAGTGTCAATGAGCTGAATCCCGGTCCCAGGTGGGTCAGGGAGAGAAGGTGGGAGGGCAGAACGGGACGGGATGCCCAGGAAAAAAAGGGCCTCTCTTGGGTGACTCTTTCAGAGCTGCTTTTATGGTTTGTTTAGGCTTCTCAAGGCAAGTGGTAGAAATGCTGTTTTAACAGGAGACCAGTATAGAGAGAAGGGCTGGCTTGGTGGCAAAGTCGTGCTCTCTGACAGCATTTGGGGATCTTGTGGGCTACTAAAGAGGCCTTCAGCCCCCTTTCAGGACTGAAGCGGGCTCTCAATGTGCCCTGGGCCACTGCTGAGAAGCAGAGCACCTCTTGGCTTCTCTTCTGCACCATGAAGAATCAGGCGCCGCAGCCTTTTGGGGAGGAGCGAGGAGGTTAGGATATGCTTTCTGGCTCAGGCCATTCCTCCTTCCAGCCTCAACTTCCTCTGCAGTCAAAATCAGACTTAAGAAATGATGACGGGGGCGGGGGGGGGGGGGGGGGGGGCTTCTCTGCTAACCCGGAAGCACCCGTTGCCGGGTGGAAGTCCACCTCCACAGCCCAAAAAGCTGTTCGTTGTGTTCTTTTCGTTTCAGGACCCGTCAGAAACTCCACTACCAGAACGTGAGCGCGTCATCGCCACCCAAGTCAGTAGGAAGAAGGCAGTGTGGGGCTGGGGGAACAGGGCCGGTGGGTGCACTTGCCCTGGGCAGAATGCGTTCGCTCTTTAAAAGCCGGGAGCAGATTCCTTGTCTGGGCTTAGGATCCTTTCGGCAGATGCCTCTCTAGGTAGCAGAGATCCTGCCGAGCCCCAACCCTTGCGCTCCGTCCCCTTCTCTCCTTGGCTGCTGCAATCCTTCCTTTCTGCTTCCAGGACCCCCATGGAGAGGGAGTACATAATCCCCGAAGCGGCTCAGCCCTTTTCCAGGTGAGTGTGAGGGATCTGGGATGAAGTTTTAAATCCTCCAAGTAAGAGAGGCCACAGCTAAGGCACTGCTGGTCCTATGTATCCTTTAATAAGGAATCACACGAGCTGACCTTGTCTAGAAGAAACTGGGAATTCTTACTGAACAATTGTTCAGGGTTTCCTTCTCCGTCTATTGTGCCTGAGCCCTTAAGGTAAAGCTTGTCTGTAGGTGCGCTTGTACCTGTGAGCTGCTAGGTAAACTTCCTGTGTGCTCTGCTCCCAGGGAAGCCTGTTTGGGTCTAGACTGGACGACAGCTGGAACTGGCAGCGTTAGAGCAGGGGTGTCAAACTCAAGGCCCACTGACCAGATGTGACCTGCGGGGTGCTTAAATCCAGCCTGCGGGGCTGGGCTGGAAAATATGAAAGGACCGGCCCGCAGTGCCTCTGGCAGCTAAAACCGGCTGCATGTGTGCCTCGTTTTCACCCTCCATGGCCTCCTGCAGCACTCTGCCAGCCCAAACAGGCCTGAAAAGGGTCCAAAAATGGCCCTGGAAACTGCCTGAAAAACAAGCTGAAAACAGGCCGAAAAATGGCCCGAAAACAGGCCACGGAGGGTGAAAATGAGGCACAGGGACCTCCCGTGCCCTGTTTTGGCTGGCAGGGTACTGCAGGAGGCATCCGTCCCGCACCACCGCCCTCCCGCTGGCCCACGGAGGAGAACTACAATGCTAATCTGGCCCTGGAAGGAATCCAGATGGACACTCCTAGAGCCTCCATGTCCAGTAGCTGCCCATCAGTAGATTTGTCGGTGGGCTGGGAAGGAGGAACAGAAGTGAGAAAGTATCTACCACAGTACACCTGGGTGCCTGGTTGACTGCTCTCATCCAGCAGGATCCATCTGTATTTCAGCCCTCCCTCAGCAAAAAAGTATGAGAAGGTGGAAGAGTCACACCCTACAGCTGTGTAAGTTTTGTGGGACGAAAGAAGGGCTCCCTCTTTTGATCTCGTCCTCCTGCAGAGGCCTAGGAGGGACTAGCAATTAGATGCCCGGGGGAATTGTAGCACGGCCATGTCAACTGAGGCCAAGCGGAAGAGGGGCTTTGCGCCTGAATGTCGTCTTTGTAAACCTTTAGCCAGCGAGCAGCTAGAGTTTTGGTAACTCTGATCAGAAGAAAGAGGTGGTCCCCTGATCACCCCCAGCCTCTTTGCAGCTGCTGACCTGCCTCCCTTGCTGCCCAAGTGGGGGGAGACAGGAAGCTGTCTGCTTTCCTGTCTCAGATCCTTTGAGTTCTGCTCATTTAGCACCTTCCCTAATAGGATGCTCTGTACCTTTCTTTCCTTCCCAGAACGGGACGCTCTCCAGAGATTGGGATGACACCTCAAGGGTGAGTTAGCACTTCCTGGGACTGCGGGAGATGGGCAGGCTGAGTCAGCTGTTTTGTGTGGAAATGTGGTTTTTTTTCCAAAGACTTTCTCCTTGACCCAAAACGGTAAGAGGGAAATGCAGGTTTCAGGAGACAGGGCGTTGGTTTAAACCATCACGCCTTTAAAAGGCATAGACAAGGGGAAAAGCCATGCATGCTGGCACCCAAAATCATCTAAGCTTCCCCTCTGCATTAATGGGATCTGAACTGGGTAGGACTAGTCAGGAAAGGGAACTTGATGGTGTAGTGGACAGCTTGAAGGAAATGCCAATCCAGCATGCAGATTTCAGGTTTGGAATCATTACAAGAGGAGCTGAAGATAGAACAGTCCCTGTATTGGTGGAAATCTTTGCTGAAAGTATTTTATGTTGTTCTGGTCCCTTAATGTGCAAAATCATTCTGTCTCCCCCACTGATCTTGTTTTGTGTGAAAAAACAGGCACCGTATCATACTGGCTTTTGTTTCTCCATCTCATTGTTTAACAGACATGACAATCACATTTACGACGAAGTGGAATAGGAGATGGAAATGGGCTGATACACCGTATCTCACCTTGGAAATGGGCTGATCACCGTATATGAACTTTTCTTCGGAGTCCTTGGGCTGTGAAGTGGCTCCTCTGGTGGGGAACACAGGGACCCCCTTCCTATTAAACCATGGTTTAATTCTTCTTAGTCTGTTGATTTTGCTGCGTGTGCCATAGAACCCGTTTCTTGTGAGAAGCTTGGCTTGGAGTGTTCTAGAATGCTGTTGCATTTTGAATTGAATTCTTTATTGTCATTGTACATATATGCACAGTGTACATACAATGAAATTTTGCATCCCTCCAAAGAAAAATTCTTATCCTTTTGAAGTTAATGCTACGTTAGGATTACATGTTCTTAAAAGGTAGTGCATTGCAGGACAGAAAATGCAGCTTTATTAAGCTGGAAACTGAACAATTGATTAATTGATTAATTGATCACAATTGATCAATCCTGAAAGGAATAGTGGAGCGCTGGTCACTGGCAGTCTCCTGCTGGTGCTGCCTGGCCCAGGGTTTGGCCTCTGCCCAGCTGGCATCCTTCTTCACAGGGGACAATGGGAATGCAGTTGGGGAAACCGGGAAGGAGAGAACGGGGCTGGAGAGAAGGCCTAGCAGCAGAGGATAGAAAAACTAGAGTCCTTCAAGGCGGTTGGGGCCTGTTTACAGCCCTGGATCTCCATTGTGGAGGATGCTGTCAGTGGCCTTAGAGGCGTTGCTAAGGCAACGGAGACCCGTTGCTAAGGAGCGGCTTGTTTGGCGTCCACCGCAACCGCCACGCCGACAGGGCAGCGCGCGGGGAGCTTGCGCTCTTAACGTAGCACCGTTAACGTAGTCGCCGTAGCGCACAGCCTACATTCGCGCGGGCGTTTCTCCCTGCGACCGTTACTAGGAGACGCGTCTCTTCTCAGCCGCCAATTAGAGGCCTCTGTCATTCAATCAGTCATTCAAATCGCCCAATAGAAGAGTCCTCGGGTTGTTTTTTTCCCCCGTTGGTAGGGAGCACTGAGAACCAACGCGAGGAGGAGGAGTCTCGGGCGACCGTTGTAACGTTCTAAGTAGAAAATTCGAGGGAGAAAGTCCTCGCGCTAAAAAAAAACGTTCAAGCGCGGGGCGGTTTTCGGTTAAGACTGGCATCTCGAGCGCCCAATCAACAGCGCAGCTTGAGCATTTTCGCCCAATCACCACCGACAAGGCGGATGACGGGAAAGGTGGAGTGAGGTTGAGAGGACGCGCGCGATTACGCAGCCCCGCCCCCTTTCTTGCGCCTCCTATATAAAGGTGTCCGTTGCCTTGACGCAGCTAGTATTCGCTGTGCCGTCGGCGTCGTCTGTCTCGTTGTCCAGACCGAAGAGGTCGTTCCCGCCCGTCGGTTCCGGCGCCATGAGGGAGATCGTGCATTTGCAGGCCGGCCAGTGCGGCAACCAGATCGGCGCCAAGGTCAGCCGAGCCGGCCAAGAAGGCGGAGGAGGCCGGGTTGGGGCTCGGGAAGGCCGCCTGCGCCTCCTCCTCATAAGCTCTCCCCGCTTTTCCGCCCTTAGTTCTGGGAGGTGATCTCGGACGAGCATGGCATCGACCCCACCGGCACGTACCATGGCGACAGCGACCTCCAGCTCGAAC